ATAAAGCGTTCGTTATTTTCCAAAATCGCTAATTGAAGTTGGTCATTGGAAAAACAACTTGATGTGGGTTATGCTAAAGATATTGGAGAAAATTTTCGAGACGAGCGTTCTCTAAAATAAGGAGCACAAATTTATATTTTGATTCCCCCGAGATCCGTTTCTATTTTGATCGATCTTTCACTATAATTTAAGGTTTTCTCAAAAAAGTTATTTGTTGGTGCTCCTTTTTAGAAAGACCGATTTCCATAATGTTACACGAATATCAATTCACATTTTAATTTGGATTTTTAATATTATTCTATATATATCTGGAGCTTCTTGAAAAAACGGACAAGAATTTTTGCCCCTGTAATTAATTTCCTTGTGACATTATTTATATTTATACCATTTTTTTGTTTGTATTTAATGTAATGTTATATATTAATCTTCTTTCAAACAAATTTTTTTTTCTTTTCTTTTGAATCAAAAAAAAAAAAAAAAAAATGCAGTCAACTTCCCACGTAAAAGGGATTAATTCACAAACAAAAAATACAAGAAAAAATATTGAAATAAATCAACAAAAGCAAATAATAACCAAGACGTTGTCGACTGAAGAGAATTTGAAATTTAGTAATAATAATAATAATAATATTAATAATAGTAGTCATAGTAGTAGTAGTCATAGTAATAGCAACAATAATAATATCAATGATAATAACAAAAATTTAGAAAATGCAAAACAAAAGAGTAGCGTGACAACAAGTTTTTTATACAAACTTACCGAAATAGCAGCATATACTTCTGCAGTAGCTTCTGAAGCATATCAAACATTTAATAAAACATTAAAGACAGATGAAGACGATCATAGCAATAACTCATTTTATGATATGTATGAAGAAGATAATGTATTGACGATTGCGGATGGTGATGAAACAGATTTAAATGATGATGAGTTAAGTGATAGTGACCTTGAAGAAGATGATGATAATAATAAATCTACAAACAACAAAATCAAAATTAATAAAAATAATACTCGTAACATAAATCATGGACATGATAGAAAAGATTCTTGTTCCTGGTCAGTTAACGATGAAGATGAACCACCACCACCTTATGATAGTTCTTGGACTATGGTTAGTTTAATATTTAAATATTTAAATATATGTCTTATTGTTAATAATAAAATCAAAATAATAATATAATAATAATAATAATAATAATTATTATTATTATTATTATTTTCTTAGCCTGCAACATCAACAAATAACAATACAGGTCAGCAAAATATTGCAAACTTACCTAAAATTTCAACATCACCCAAAAAAATATCATTTTCAATCCCTCAAAATGAAGATCAATCAACAGATACTTCATCTGTCCCTGCTACACCAACACGCCGTAGACAAATTCGCGTACGTCGTGGTCGACGATTACTCCGACGAAAAACCTCTTCTGTTGAACTTCAAAGTACACAAAGAACAAATAATGGGCGCGGAGGACCTATGGATCAAGACGAGTTGTTGCTTAAAGTTAATGAAAAGTTGTCAGATATGATATCTCAAGGCACAGCAGCATTGAACAGTACTGTTGATGTAACTGAAGTTGAAATGATGCTCTCAGAAGAAAGAGAACGCGAAGAAAAAATAATGAGAGAACTTGGACTCCAATCACCTGTTGGACGTCGTAACAAAAGGTTTACTAATTCGCCATCTTCGGACTATGAATATTATAGCTCTTTATCTGATTCTGGCAGTTATTCTGCACCAGAAACATCTTATTGTGAATATGGTTATGGTTCTAATAGTGGATTTGCCTCACCAACTGGATATGATACTCCTTTAAGATATGGTCCAACAGCTCATTATAATACACCCATAACTTACGGCTCGCCTGGAATATATCCTTCGCCTGGAGGCTATAACAATAGTAACAACAATAATAACAATCGTTATCATCATCATCATCATCATCATTCGTCTGATGGTTATAATATGTTAGGTAGCAAATTTAATGAATCGTCTCCAAATGAATTTTCCGGCCCAATTCCAACTAGATATCATGGAATACCACCACCACAAATACAGCCAATGCCACAACACGCTTACAATGAATTGATATCAAATGGATATAATGTTGCTTTACCAACTGGCTATGCTAACTCACCGCTACCACCACCATTATCATCACCAGCATCATCATCAATGGGAAATTTTGTTCAAAACCAAATAGGTGGAGGGGGTTTTGGATCAAATTCCAGTCGCTTTACAAATAATATGAACGGATATGGATCAAATTCTAAATATGGTTCTGGAAAAATGTTTAATAATGATAATAATAACAACAACAACAAATTTTTCTACTAGTATTTATAATAGATACAATGAATATTATAGTATTTTGGGGGTTTTTCTTGGGATTGAAGAGTGTTGTTTATTAGGTATTGATTGGTTTGAACCAAAAAAATATATTTCAAATTTTTTAATGGACAATTGGAGTTGTAGGTATATTCTTTTATTTTTTTAATTTTAAAAATTGTTCAATCAGAAAAATTTTTCTTGTTTTTTTTTGTAAATATTTTTCGATTAACATTGTAAATTATTTTTATAGATTTATTTAAAAAAAATATTTTTTGTTTTTGCTCTTTTTTACATCATTTATTATTAACTTATTTTTTTTTATTTTAGAAAATTTTCATTTTTTTCATTTTTATTGAAGAATAAATAAATAATTAATTATATATTCATCTATTTAAATTTCTTATTTTCTTTCTTTTTTTTTTCTTTGTGTAAAGTATTTTTTCTTCTGTATGTATTATAAACAATAAAAAAAAACTTTAGATTTTATTATTTTTTATAACCTTGTGAATTTCTCTGTTTGACAGGAAAACCATTCTTGTGTAAATAATCTTATTTTATTATTATTGCCATTATAGCCTTTTTTGTCTATATTAGTAAACAGTAGTCATTATTTAAAAAAGATTCCTATGATTTTTCTTTACAAAAAATGGAAATAACAAGAAATATAAAAGATACAATTTCTGCTTCTCATCATCATCCTATTCCACTTGTTAACAATCCTATTATTACCTCTCTTCCGCATGTTCCTTCTCCTAATATCAAAAGAGTAGAAAAAACAATTAATCAAACCAATCAAGCCAATGATAACAATAATGTTGATGATGATGATGATGATTCAAGTGACATGGATTTATATTCCAAAGTAAAATCAAGATTTTCAGCAACAGGAATTGTATTGATGTTTCATCAAAAACTAAATCTTCCTATTGGACCACTATATGAATTCGAGAAATTGATAAAATGTCAATTCAGGTGCACATTAAGGTATGATTTCCAGTGTTGGCAATCAGAAACTACACATGGGAGGAAACGGGATGCTAAAGAGGATGCATCCAGAGTGGCATTGAAATATCTGACAAAAACTTACAGAAAACAAGCGCTTCACATCCAACGTACACTTATTTTCAATTACAAGTTGGGGCCAAAGAAATCGGTGTTTGGTAAAGGTGTTAGACAAATTTCTCATTTTACCTTGCCAGGAAACGGATTACCACCATGTGAGATTTGGTTAAACCAACAATATCAACAACTCGGCATACCCATTATTCCTGATTCACTACCACAGTCAACACCACCGCCTAGGATTCTCTTGGCACGATTTATGCTAAAATATAATCTTGGTGTTCCATTGTTTGTAGACATTGATCTGCCATCAGCATCATCAATAAACATTAATACTGGTGATTGTATTGATTATATTGCTATAGCAAAAGCGATAGCTGATTCTGCTAGCGCTACATTAACAGCCAATTCTGCTGGTGCTACCACCACAACCACCACCACTACCGTCTCAATCAACACTGCCACTACTAGTTCCAACACTATAGATATCAGATTCTTTGGTGTTCTTTTTGCCTCTAAGTACTTCGGGTGCAACATATGATACAATTCCATAGACTTTATCTGATGATTTTTCATCAACTGGTCCACATAATCCCAAATCTGTAATAAAACAACCACCTCCTTGCATAAGTATATTACCACTATGTAAATCACAATGAATTAAATCTTTTTCATGTATACGATATAATGCATCACACAAATAATACAATATTTTAATTCTATCTTTTAATGTTAAATTCAAATGACTTTTTTGTAAGTAACACCTTAAATTTCCATCTGAAGCATAAGGTAAAACAATTGCATAATTTCCATTATCTGGGAATTTGGTTATACCATAGCAAGGAACAATCAGTGGCGCTTTAATTTTACAATAATTTATTGCCTGTAATTAAATAAAATCAATTAGTATTATATAATACAGTATTGTTTTTTGTTTTAAATGACAACTACCAACCTCATCAAAAAATGTTTTTCCTGGATTACTTGAATCATTTAAACTTTTTAATACTACTCTTAGCTTTCCAAAATAACTAAATTCCTTTTTATTTTCGTCATAATCAACTATTGTTCCTCTTGTCCATGTAGCAGTAAAAATCGAACTAAATCCACCTTCTGTCAACTTTGTTACTTTTTTAAATTGCTCAAAAGGTATCCATTCTAAAATATAGTCTGGCAGGGATGATTTCATTTGACATTGTTGAATAAAGTTGTCAACTATGTTATTTCCAGATGTCCAAGTGGTAAAAAGGCTCTGTAATTGTAAACTAATACAACCTTCACAGAACCTATCAGAATATTTTGTCAGTTTACACTTGTTACATTCTTTTGGTTTGCCTAATTTATCTCTTGCATTACCTAATTCAACATGATAAATAAACCTTTCCTTACAATATTCTTTTTCATTTTCAGAAAGCTCCTTGTTTTTCTTGACTAATGAAAAAAAATAATCTTTTCTACTTTCTCTATCAGAATTATTAACATTAACATCATTAAGCATTTCATTATTAATTTTATATACAAATTCCTTCCTTTCTGATGATAACGATGATAACAAATTATCATATGACATTATATAAAATATAAAATATAAAAGTCAACTTGGTATTTTAATAAATGAGAAGAACTTTTTTTTTGTGGAGCGGTGAATTGAATTGAATGGCGTGTAACAATTTTTTCGTACAACATTTTAATAATATTAATTGATAAGGAAAAACGAAAATTGCATTATTTAAAGAACGATCATGATTCAACAATAAAAGAAATTCTTTAAAGATTGAAAAGTGATAAAATAGAAAACAAAATTAAACTTACGAAAATAAACCTGTCTTATGTGTTATGTAAAGGTCGCTCTAAGTACTAATATTGATCAACCTATGTTATTTCAAACTCAGACACCAAAGACAGCTCAAGCATACTATTAATATTATTGCGTATTACTATTATAACTAACTTCAAAGTTAAAATTTTGAAAAAATATTTACATTTTATGAAATGCAATAATGAAAGAATGGTTTTAATTTGTAAAAAAGAGGAAAAAATAAGTAGTTTAATGAAGTAAATTTCTAATTCAAATTATAACATTTATAAACTTCTCATGATAATTATTCTTTTTGCATCATTGCAATATACATAGGATGATATAATAATTCTTTATTCGTCTCGGGATACACATTTTTACACTTTTTATAATCCTATTTTATCATTATCATTATTGCTTGCTTGTATCAAGTGTTTTTACTTGTATCAAGCATTTTTTTAATTAAGTCAAGTAGTTTTACTTACGTTAGGGGCTTTTACTTTAGTCAAATCGTCAAAATAATACTGGTGAGAGACTACCTTTAGTCAATACTTTAGTTACGTCAATGACTAAAGTCAAAAAAATCGTCATACATCATCAAGTGATAATGGTAAACTACATCAAAATCATATGAGCCAATATTGCATCAATTTCTTTTTTTTATTTTGAAACTAATTTTGTTTGTTTGGAATTATCTATTAGAGTGTTAACCAAATTGGCTGAAAAAAAAAAGGTTAATCATACCAAAGGGTTATATTGTTTTCAAGCTGAATTTATATCACTTGACAGATATTTCACCGTCTCAAAAGATGTTATTTTATAAACAAACCTACGTAGTAAAAATCTGTATCAATTTGACTAATTATATGCGATTACTATATGAATGAAGCTTTAATCATCTTATTCAAGGTCCAACGACATTTCATGCCTACCGCAAAGCATTGAAAGAAGGAATTAGATCATATCAAATCAGATAATTTCTTTATTGTTGCAGCATCCTCATGTAATGATAATAGGTTCGCATTAATACGAAATGGTATGCATTTAACCGCCAGGAATGTAGATTTCCAAGATGGATTTCAATGATTATGGGAAATCTACATTTTTTGTGAATTTTGGTACAGTAATATCATTTAAAATAAAAGGGAGGGAGATGCACTTATAATTATTCCTTTTGGTTTGATTATTTCCAGGTGCGCTCTTCTTCATGTTTTCAAGGGTTAAGAATTTACTCAAATAAGCAGGAAAGAATGTAAATGGTTCGGAAATTTGGGATGGAAAATGAAACATTATGATAAATCAAAGAAAGCAATTTATTTCCTTTATAGGTAAAATATTCACATTTCAATAATATACATTTATTAAAAACTAAATATTTTAGATTTTTTAAAAAATTTAATTAGTTGCAGGGTTTATAAAAAGTTTGTTACAAGATTTATTTAAATAATAGTAAATAGTTTACTTTTCATATATCTTTTAATTATCTTTAGAGAACAACGCTCTCTCAGCTTCACGGCGTCTCACCAGACCGGGTAATATCTTTCCACCACCATAAATATACTTGCCAAACTCAAGGGAAGCGCCCTCAATGTCACCTTCATTAATTTTCTTGCGTAATGTAGATTTTTTATAGGTATTACAGCCAAGATTAAAGGCAAATGAAACCAAAGCGGAGAACTGATTGGAAGTAAGACTGACATTGGTGAGTGAGCTAATACCCTTTTCGAACGTAACTAAATCTTTCCTAAGTAAAGCTTCGCCTTGGGCAATAGTTATGGGTGGTTTGATGTCATCAACATTGTTGACATGGCAAGCATGACCATAACCAATGGTTTTGATACCCTTATGTCATATTTAATTAGTTATTAATCATATATTCAATTGTTGTCAATATAATACAAGAATGGACAAACTTACCACAGGATCATTGTAAAAATTTTCTTCGAATTTCTCGAATCTTTTAATAAGCTCAAGACCCTCGTTATTAATTTTGCCATTGTTGGGGGAACCGATATTGGAAGATGAAGTGTTTTTACAACGTGGAAGGTCCGGAGAAAAACCGGAAGTGCCAGTTTTGACGAAAACATCAGAGACAAAGTTTCCATCAATCAACTTATCCCAGATGTTGATGCCTTGGACAGTGTCACCAGTGGTTTGGCAAACTATATCAACATGTGAACCGATAGGAACAGTACGAACTTTTTTAGCACTCAAAGAAGGAGCTGTGCGGACAGTAAGGTTTGCTGTGACAGGAAACGCTTTTGCATTGCTGACCATTGTCAAGGTGATTAAGCGAGTATAATTATCTTGATGAGAATACTTATGATTTAAATAGAAATGCAGTAGGCAATAGCGTTCGTTGGAACAATAATCTTTTTGGAGAAGATATTAATTATATGGCAAATAAATATATCGAGGACTGCCATTGTTACTTAGTTTAAATTTTGTACTATGATACTTGTACAAAAATCATAAAAATCATATGTCCGTGAAAATTGATTGGCAAATGATTGCTTAAATCGGAACAAGGATTTTGCAAAACGTGTGATTGATTTTAAGGACACCGGCTGCAACTTTTGATGATGTTTCCAATCCCCTTTGCATCGTATAAAAATGATTATGACACCTGGTTGCGACTACATTATCCCTTTTTTTGGGTTGCGACATGGAATACTATTTATTTGTTGAAATTTATGCTATAACCTGTTTATAGAGTTGTTTTCCATGGGATTTGTTTTCTTAATAAATTATAGTTCCAAGCCGAGATACTTTAAGAAAATGCCTAGAGAACCATCAGAACCAAGTCTGTTTCGTAGAATTAGATGATATAACGGGAATAATTTACATCTATATATATACATAAATGATCTTAAGTTATATATAAATTTAAAATTTAAACAAAACAAAAAAATAAAATTCACCATTTTTGAAATACAAGAGCATCTAAGACGACTGTTTCAAATTCCTTTGCTTTAATATTATTAATATTAAAGATTTTTTATTAATTAATTCATGTATTGTAAGAATATACCAAACCCGCAATACAATAAATAATCATACCTACCTACTACTTGAGAGATATGCGCGTATTACTATTAGCCATGATTCCTTCATCATCATCATTTTTTTTTAAAATTCTGGTACAACAAAAAATTGCATCGCTCGTGTTTTCTAAGAACAAAAACCATGCAGAAAAATTTAAACACGCTCAACATAAAAAAGGTTATTCTATTACTCCCGTCAATAGGGAAGTAAATTTCAGTGTTTAAAAAAATTTTTAATTGTATAATTCTGATATTTTATTATTTGGTGTCAGAATTATTAAAATTGTCCGCTGATACCACCGCGAGGCTCCTGGCCAGCAAGACTGAAAATCTTGAAAACCAGGTCTCAAACGACTCGAAGTATACATGTCAGTCAGCATCCACTTTAACCACCATGTATTTAAACACTCCTGTGGCCAAGATTTCGGTCGAGCCCTTCTCTTTGATTGACGAATACTTACCTAATCAAAGAGGCTCGGATGAAAGGCAAACAGGCCCAGAGTCCCCGTCATACCCCGTGCATCTTCCTTTCACATACTCTACGGGACACTTGGTCTCCAGGACTTTGTGATTTCAAGTTAATCTTTTTACTCAGCAGGACAACAGAATCAGTAAACTCTATTTGATACCATTCGGTATGTTTTTTTGATATTTGTTGTAATTATTGTTGAGTTGAATACCGTTGAACAAGTGTTGTTTGAGCTGAAGGAGGAGGGAGGTTGACCAGCATGCATTGTTGTGTTGGTTGAGCTGGTTGTTGTAATCGTTTGAGTTGGATATATTTATGCCCAATTAATAATAATAATTTAATGGGTCATAAAAAAAAACGAAAAAAAATGAATAATAACTGTATATACAGTATACAGTATATATACGATGAAAATAATTTATTTCTTTTTTAGGATGGAACGTAAACAAACAATATTTAATATTATTAATATTATTTACATAATTTTTTTTTATCCTTAATGATTGCTTCCCATAAATGGTTTTTAATATGATGATTCTTTTACATAAACACGGGTTGAAATTCCTTTTTGATTGGCCAATTTAATTTTTCACGTATAAATTTTAATTTTCACACACAAAATCGTCACTATGCTATTAGCGACGACATGGATTAGGCGTTATTGTGTTTCGCATATCCCAAAAGAGCACATATAGTCATCATTACAGCCTTCCCAATTGACCTACGTCACACATAATAGTTTTAATATAGAACAAACAGCCTGAATAAAAGACTTTGTAGAATATTTCTTAAAATTGGACACGTACTAGTGATAATGTAGTAGGCATGGTACACCACAATAATTATAAAGAAAAAAACTCTTTATAGCGAACTTATTATAAATAAATTGAAAAGTCCCTTACAACGAGATGAATTTTTTAACAAATTATGCACAATATATATATAACAAAGAAAATAAAATTGTCTGAATTTTTGATTTTAAACTATCAACTGTTTTTAATTCTTGGTAACTAATTGTAAAATTATCTGTCTAAACTACCTGATAATTATATACTGTTTCCACTTCTTCTACTTCATCAGAATTGTCAACCTCAGGATTTGGCTCCACTGCTCTAACGATTTCTTCATCAGTTAATTCTTGTACTGATACTTCATCCTCGATCTAAATAAAACGTTCTGCAACGATTCGATCTTGCAAATAAACTTGTAAATCAACCAAAGTTATTTTGACACCACTAAACAAGAGGATAATGTGTAAATTACTTTATTGTAAAAAGGATACTTTTTCCGAGTGCCAGAGCAATATATATATTGAGATTAAGAGTAGAAAATGAATTGGTTTTATCAAGTAAATTGGGTAGATTATTACTATGTTAGGTAAAAGTACTTTTAAATTTGATCGTTTTTACCATATTATTCATGCTAAGGAAATTGTTTGCATTTTGTGGTAAAACAATTAAGTTTAATAGATTCTGGGCGAAGATTACTTAAATCATCATGTAAAGGGTGCTGGATGCAAAGACGAAGAACAATTTTCAACTTTACAAAACTGCTCGAATTGAAAATACGAAGCTCAGAAGAAGAATTTGATTCTGATGTATATAATAATATGAATGATGATGACTTATTCCGAGTAGATGAAATAAACGACAATAATGATGTTATTTTAATTTCACCTTTTATTATAGATAACAATAAAACAAATACATGTCAATATTCAAAAAACGTCAATTGTGCAATATGGCAACAAATGAACTGATTGAAACTATTAACAAGATTTTACCAGGGAGCGCACAGTGAGCTTTTATTGATTAATTGCTTTTGCTACTTTTTAATTTGGCAAGATCTCTCTGATTCACGCTTTTTAATCTTGTGTATTCTTAAATCATGTATTGATCAATTTTATACAAGAAAAGTTGAAATCCAAGATCTCAAGCAAATCCCAAGAAGGCACACTGCTCATAGCTACGTATACTTGACCAGGCGCAAACATATTTTCATCGATGTTGACAGTTTTGTGAGGTAATGTCAATCCTTGGGTTTTGTGCACGATAAGAGCGAAGGCATTATGCAGAGGAAATTGTTGCCTTGATGCAGGGCTTCCATTGATATTAAAGTAAGTGGTTTCTTTTTGCATAGTCACCTTTGTGGTATTGTGGGTTGTCAGAAAGGTCACTTCAACGTTTTGAGGATCAGTAATTTTGATTGTCATGACCCATTGCAAATTCCATGATCAAACAACTTGTTGTTGAGTAACATCACTTTTGCATCTTCCTGAAGAATGACGTGCTTGTGAAGGTTTATGTAGCGGTTGAAGTGAAAATCTTCAGTTTGATTCTGATTGAGGATGTTGAGGTAATTTTTTTTTACAAATCAGTCAGTTAAATTTTTCTAATAAGATAAATGCAAGTGTGGCGTTTATTATGATTTAATTTAGAGAGAGTTAGTTCACTTTGTTACTTATTATTTTGGGTAACCACATGAAATTATGTTTAATTTTTTGGCATAAAAGTTAGAACTTTTAATTTAGATTATTAATTGATTATTATCATGGGCAAAAAAAACTTTAGTCACGATTGATTAGTTCAAAAAAAGTTAATTCAAATTCCGGGTTAGTAAAAATGCGCCTTTTTTTTTTATTATACAATTTATCATCAATTTTTGCTTTGGCAATATGTAGCTCTTTTATTGCCGTTTTTTATCTATTTATTTTATTTTTTATTAGATGATGACGGGTTGGAAGGGTCGAACGGAGTTGGCGCGGATCAGAAGGCTCATCCACCAAGTATTATGTTCTTTATCATCATTTTTTTTTTTATTATATACAAATCATTTATATTTAACAACTACTTCTTTTCATTATTTTCATTAACTATTTATATGCATCTATTGAGAAAGGTGAAGAAGCTTTCACTTTTTAGCTGTTTATTTTTCAAATGAGATTAAATTTATCAAATTTGTCTCTTTGTATGTAGATGTGAATTTTTTATTATTCGCGTAACGATTTTTCTAATCATTAAATAATAACGGTTAAACTTGAAATATTTCTATATTGGTGTTACGAAAAAATGTGAGGACGGCTATCCTATTTATATGTTTGGATTTAATAAATAAAAATAAAAAAGCAAGAGGCTTATTTTGATTGCATTCTCGGTTATTAAAAAGTCAAAATATTCGTTACACGATTCAATGTCAGTTTTTTTTATTCGAAATTTATGGCAACTACATAGTTAGTAATAGCCCTGTTAAAATAAACCTTTTGTAAAACACAAAGTCAAAGATGAAATTGATAAATACGGTTTCCAAATGGAACTTTGCATGCTCCTAAAATCGGAATGGCCATATGTTGTTATTCATGTAATAAACGCTGGACAAATGATTAAGAATATAACCACATTGGAATGGTGAGACATTGGCAATTATCATGCGCTAGAAATAAATATTGTGCTGTTAGCTTTGAATATGCTATGGAAGCATGATTCTAAGCATGCGTTACATTGATATGGATTGTGGATGTCTAACATTATCAGAAAAATCCAGCATGCTTGACGTGTTGAAAAAAAAAAATTCAAGCATGCACAAAGAAAATTTATTGAATACTATTATTGTCCTTCTGGACTTTGTGCTGCAGAATTAGCTAAACATTACAAACTCTTATGGGGAGTCCAAGAGGAGATGCATCAAACTAAGTTAATTTATAAATAATATTTTTTGAATTCAAACTATAACAGCACCAGGAAGCAGAGCCTCGAGTTTCCAACTCGTGTACTGGCTCATGTCAAAAATGAATTATGTTTTAGCTATAAATACTAAACCATAATCTACTAAACAAGACCGGGAAACCCCTATTGAATGTCACTGCTAACACTCACTACTATTCAATATTACTATAATGTTTAAAAATGTCACGCTCATTTTATATTCGCATTAAAAAAAGGTCACACTGTTACACTATAATTCGTAAAGAAAACAAAGAAATTCTCATCAGTCACGCTGATTCGTGAACATAGGCCACGAAAAAAGGTTACCGATTACACTATAATTCGCGGTATACTATTATTTTTATGCTACTCTTATTAAATATAATTGATTTTTTAAAACTTCTTTACAATCATTGTCAAAAATTATTTATTTCATTTGTTAATATTCACCTATTAGTGCTAAACAACCATCTCACTTGGAAGCGATTATCAAGTTGCAAAATTTAAAAAATCAGAGGTTACCACCAACAATAAATACTATTACCAATGATAGCAACGGTAGTGATATAAATAGCAGTATGCTGTGACTTAAAATATATTAATCATGCCATAAATAGCCCAGCAAGTTTTGGTGGGGGTAAAAAACCTAAAGATGTTGCATTTTCCTCAAAAATTTACTGAAAACGTAATTTTTTCTTAATAAATAGAATTTAAAAGAGCATTAGAGGCTGAAGCAACTTGGCATTTGGAAATTTAGCAGTTTACTGTATCCAATATAAAAAAAATACATATAATGAACATGCTATATGTAATAGGTGTGAAAAACTAAAATGTAATAAACATTTAAATGAATCAATCAATAAGGTAACAGGTCATTCTCATCATTAATAAATTGTTAAATGTTGTTGCTGTCAAATTGATTCACACAATTATAAAAAAGCAAGATTCGAATATATATGTTTGACCATTTGATTGGTAGCGTTATACAATAGGGTTTTCCTGGTCCTATTTGTACATTTAGGATGTATGGTGCAAGATGTCTATAACAGTTAATGTTTATCACATGGCTTTAAAAGCTTATTTTAAAAGACTTCAAAGTTAGGACATTTTATGTAAAATTGTAAAAATTTCGGAATAATATTCCCTCGTGTTTCCCAATAAAAAAGGAACATGAATGTCAATACTAGTATTGATAATAATGTTAATAGATATCAATACTAATATTAATAGCATATTGATAATAATCTCAATAGGATGTCAATACTAATATATACTAATAATGTTCATATTAATAAAATTTATTATTAATTATAGCAAAACGTTATACAATTAGACAATCAAATAATATAATTCATTCCATCATGAGATCCTTCAGTACAAAGGCTTGTATGAAATGTATCTTTGGTTGTCTATCCACAATTGTTAAAGGATGCAAGTGATTCCATGTATGATCATTGCTTTCCTGAAGAATATATATTGGAAAACCTGTTACAGAATCAACATTTCCGCCTTTGTAATACCAATCAATTAATTAAAAGGGATTAATATGTATAAGATCATCTTGATGTGCACTAATTTCATATGATTGTTCAATCTCCTCTATATCAACTACATCACCAACTTGTAATGTAATATTAATATAAATATCAGCTTCATGCTTGACAGTAAATTGAATAGAATCATAATAATTAATATGCCATTGTGTTATATCACCTGACTCTTGGTATATATCTCTATAAATTTTTCTAAAAATCAATTAACAGATTCTCTATAGAGATAATAGTGATAAGCCTTCTTTTTTAATTTTAGATGGGTCCCATTTTCCTCAAACTTGAATGTTTTGAAAATCAGGATGAATAGAATAGATTTCTAAATTTAAATAAATTGCTATATTATTATTATGCCCATAACCCATTTATATTCCTACCCAGTTATGTTTCATCAAGGAGTTGATGTACTAAACCTGCTAAACAATGAATAAGAGTCCTGAGGTGTTTGTATGTGTCTATTATGAATAAGATGATCAAGATATTTTTTTGAAGATGCAATCCATATTGTTTTGCTATATTTTCTTTAGCAGACTTTGTAAATGCTTTTTAATTTCTTGAAATTTCAAATTTGTAATATGACAATACCTACCATTTGCTTGAATATCAAAATGAAGATTACTAAAAATTTTCTGAGTTACTTCACATGAACAACACCCATGTTCTGCATTATGCTGTTGAACTCCTGCTATATCATTATTGTCTTGTGGCAAATCTGCAGTACACATACCTAAACCTCCAGAAACAAACACCTTTTCATTATTCTATTTATGGTATAAATGGTTTAGTGAATTCTGCAAATTTTCGCACCAAATGGAACAAAACCAATAAAAAAAAGGTTTTTAGGGCATTGTCACATTAAAAGTACCCTATTTCCAAATTGTAAATAAAGCCCACCAAGCTTTACCAAATGCACATAATATAAGCCAATAAAAATTTTTAAATGATGGAAGCCAGACGGAGAGAATAACTAATGGACTGACATAGTAATTGATGTTGTTGATGTATTTGCCTTATTTTTGGTCAATTACAATGTGTATATAAAAATTTCTTTGGTGAATCTTTAAGCCAGACACCAATATGTTGAATTACATCATCTATACAAGTAGTTGTTTGTTCTTCGGTTAACCAAACAGCATGATTCTTTGATTGGTTTAAACAATCAAGAGATCTTAAATTGCCTGGAAGATCTATATGATATATAATCTAACAATTTTTTTTTGTTATATTCCATTTATTTGACCTAATTGTTGACTTATATTTTTTTCATTAACATGATAAAGTACAAAATCTCCAGCTTAATAAAGTACTAAAAAATAAATGATAACACATGCAATTATCTTTAAAATGCAGAAATATAAAGCACACCATTTCCAATGTTATATTGATGTTTCCCAAATATTGGAGATCCTTTCCATACTTGTCCATGCCATAATTCTAATTTTTCTTCAATTTCAATACCAGGGCCAAAATATAACTTTGGATAAATTGATAGATTATTAAGAATATGTTGAATATGATCAAGAACGGAAAATGTAAAACATTCTTTAAAAAGTTTAGAGGTAGAAGGAGTATATGTTAGATTAATTTTAACTTTATGACTGCCAAGTGTCATTAATGGCAAGTTACATTGCATTTGTTTTAGTGTTGTAATGTTAAGTGAGAGTTCATGTGCATGAAAATCTGGATGTTGTAAGATTTTGATATGCATGTGATCCTACGGTTTTATTAAATATATTAATTAGTTGTTTAACAAAAAGTAATATAAATAATAATAACTATATATTATTATCTATCATATGTTTTGTATATCAATATCACAGACTTATTAGGAAAATAAGATTAGATGTATTTTGTAATCATATTTATTTTTAAAGATAAAGGAATATCATCACTGCCATTATCATATCCCCATATATAAATCTTCATTGATGCTAATTTTACTTGTATTATCTGATTGCCATATATAAATCTTATCAATGCTATTTTCACTTATATTATTGATTGCCACATTTAATCTTGGTTATTTTGATTATTTTCATTGTTGGTATTATTATCTCCTATATATAATCAGTTGAAAAATCATTTATATTGCTTTAAGAAATATTATTAAAGCTCTTATTATTTGTTATAAATAATATCCATAATATATATACTAGAGTAAATATAACCTTTTGGGAGTAAAAACAATTATGTTTTTATGTGTGTTGATATGCGTTGTGGTTTTAATTATAGGGAGGTTGTGTTAATTTATTTCGCAGATCACCAAGATTTCTACGAAACACGGATTAAAAATAAAAATAATAAAAAATCAAAAATAGAATAATTTAATTGTTAGTTATTATTATTTATTTTACAACGAATTCTATTGATTTAATAAATATTATCAAAAGATATAAAAATCCGTTGAAACGCGATTAGTAATTTCGTTTCAACGGGATTTTAAATGAAATTTAATATATGTTCAGCCACTTGTTGAAACGAGGGTTGTACTGTATTTTGATTAAAAATAAATATTAAATATTGAAGAAATTATAAGATAAAAGAACTACCAAAGGAATTGCATGGGAAATCATTAATGAATACCATCTATTCTGATGTAAAATATATTCTATATTTTCACTGTTATTATTAATATTATTACTATTGCTTATATCAGTACTCGTCTTTCTTTACATCCTCATCCTCATCCTCCTCTATTTATTAACCCATTTTATTGATTACTTCTCTCATTTTTTCTAAGATTCATTTTTCATTGGTAGAAATTTTTATAGTGGGAGCAACAACACCTTTTCTTCATCAAGTAATTCATAGATCTCAAATAATTGCTTGAAATCCTTCCATAGATTTTCCATTTCTTCGAATATTTTTTTTTTCACTGCTCTATTTTATCGATTTGATCCCGAAATATATCTATATACAGAGGTCGGTGTTACCAAATTAGGAAATAAAATTTAAAACACAAACTCCGTCCTAAAAGCCAAGAACAAGTCGCATTTTTATTGAATTGCTTATTGATAGAAAATTTTGTAAATATTTTTATTATTTGGTTGTAGTTTGATGAATTAGTGATGTTTATAATGTTCGAATGCAAGTTACCTTGATACTGATATCAATCAAGATTTATTTAAATCGCATAAAGAGGATTATTAAATTAATATTAATGTTTTCCATAATAGTAAATGAATATATTAATATGGCGATCACTTTACACAACATTAATAATAGATAATGAAAATTTTTTACCATTGGACCAAATATATTTATGAGAAGAAAATATACATATTATTATATTATTCAGCAAATAATTCTTTTGGCCTTTCAAACTAATGTGGCGGATTGATTCATAGAAAAATAAATAAATAAAATTTTAGAAACACAAACTTTTTGCTGGAACATATTTGGCGTGGTGTTGCTGTTGTAGTTCTATTGAACAGCTAGTTACTAATTTATTGCTAACCAATATCTTTATTATGTTAATATTAAGGAATAAGTAATTCCCTTCGACCGAATTGTTACCCGAGTATACTATTAATATTAAAATAAAACGATCTACAAAATTGTCCATCACGATGGTTACATTAGAATCTTCTATAGAAATTAAAATATTAATGAGTTTTAAAAGATTTAGAAAATTAAAATTTAAAGTCGAACAAACTTTTACCTTTTCTTTAAGTGATAGCAGGTCTTCCACTTAATGCCAAATAGCAAAAAGAAGTTTTTTTATGACAATTAATTTCACAAATAATAGTAATTAATAATAATATTAAAATTAAGAAAAAAAATATTTAAAATATGCCACAAATATTATTTCCTAGATCTGTGACATCGTCCTCAACCTCTTCACGAAATGGTGACAACAACGACGACAATAACAACAACAACAACAACAACAACAACAACAATAATAATAACAACAGCAACGGCGGTGATAATAATAATGCAACAATTTTTACTAGACTGTCTGGTTTGACTAGTATAATATCAGCAAGCTCCATGATTCGTTACATTATTTTAATATTTCTTGTAGGTCTTGTTACTGTATTATATTTTGCCACCACACAACAAGTATTAAAGCCTTCAGGAGTCGGTCCATTGATCGTTATTGATAACTTCTACCAAATTGACCGTAACAAAAATATTGGCTCGGAATCAACGACCGAGAACCAACAGACCTTTGATAGTAATAAGGTAGCACATCTCAATAGTGATTATTACACGTTGAAAGACAATGTGCAAGGTATATTATATGACCGTGGTGATGGCTGTAACACGTATAATCCATACAAACCTGAACAAAAACCAGCAAATGCAATAAGTCCAGTACTTCCTCCTAACGTTTTTCCAAATAAGTTTATAGGGTTGGTTACATCAGATACGACTAATTGCAGCATCGACGATAAAATAAATAAAGCAATAGAAGATGGTGTGAGTGGCGTAATTATCATTATGTATGACCTTGACGTTAACAACGCTCGAATACCCGTTTTCTCAATCGATTCTCAGGATTCACCGAAAATTACACAATCTCTAGAAGAAATATATAACAACTTTTCCAAAGGGATTAATGATAACTTACCCTATAGAGTGTTACGTGCCAGTCTTAGACCTTATCAACCAATAATTGTCAGTTCATGGCTGTTTGCAATGTTTGCAGTGGGTGGTATTCTGGTAATTTCATTCTTTGTCTCGATTCTAATACATATGAGACTTTATCGCATGAGAAGAAATCAACAAGATGAAATTAGAAGACAACGTGATGCTGAAGATTTAATGGGAATGAAGAAATGGACTTTGGGAAAAGAGATTGTCAACACATTTCCTGTCATAATATATCAAAAAAAGAAGAAAATTGTTAATGATGATGATAGCGATAAGAATAGTAATAAAGACAATAGCTCTACAGCTACAGGTCCCGTGGCATCAATTAATCGTACAGCGTCTATGAAATCTATTCGCTCAACTCGCTCAACTCGGTCCACTCGTTCAGTTAATGCTATAAACAATGCTACAAATCTCTATAATAACAAATCAAAAGAAGAACATATTATATTCATGGAAGAATCATCGTCATCTATTGATAAAGTTGTAGTAGTGAAAATTGATGATGTTGTGGATGATGATGATGATGTTAATAATAATTCAGTAACAAACGGTCAAGAAAAAATAAATAATGATAACGATAATAATAACAATAATGACAAGACTAAAGAAGAAGATTCAGATGAAGATGACTTAACTTGTGCTATTTGTCTTGAAGATTATGATAACGGTGATGAAATAAGAGAGTTGCCTTGTAAACATTGGTTTCATGTAGAATGTATTGATCCGTGGTTAATCAATAAGAGCAGTTCATGTCCTCTTTGTAAGAAAGATTGTAATCTTGACAGTAGTAGTAGTAATACTAATAATGAGGATGAATCAGGTGATGGGAATCATCTTAATAATAATATAATTGATAATAATAATAATAATACTGGCCATAATAATATTATGGGTCTTTTTGGTAATTTAGAAAGACTTTTTAGAAGAAATAGGTCAGCGTCAGGTAATAATAATAGTAACAATGAAAGTTTGAGATTGGAAAACATTAATAGAACAACAAGCTGATAATAATTATCATAATTATCACATGATTTACAATTTGGATATTTATATTATCAATTATACACATTTAACTAATTCATTCATTAAAAATTTTTCTCGATTATTATTAATATTTTTTTCATATTTATATTGTTTTTCAAAATACCAATGGGGGAAAAAATTTTGTTTTTTTTTTTGTAATTTTTACTTGTTAAATATTTTTGAATAGATAATTATTCAAATAAAAATTATTATTTAGAGGCAATAAAACAAAGAACACCAAAGAAACAGATATCTATAGTGTTGGGATGTTAATGTGGGAAATATTTGCAGGTCACCCACCATTTGACAATAGAGCTCACAATCATCGTTTGATTTTTGATATATGTGCAAAAGGTTTACGACCACCAATATTGCCTGGAATGCCTGAAGATTATGCACAAATGATGCATAGGTGTTGGGATGTAGATCCATCAAAAAGACCAACTAGTAATGAGCTTTTGTACTTTGCTAGAGATAAACTTAACGAAATTTTCAATGATAATAGTAATGATAATAGTGATGGTATTGGTAGTGGTAATAGTGATTTGCAACAAGTACACAAATCACATTCAGGCGCATATCATAAAAGTAGAATACTAGATGAAGATATTGCTAAATCAAAAAGCTTAAAAATTTATACAAGTAATGATAGTTCGTTAAATAGTCTTGATTTTAACTCTCTTCTCTTAAATGCTGAAGGTGAATAAAAATTTCATTATTAATTAAATTACTATTCATTAATTAATACTAAAAATGCTTTTTATTTACATTTAATTCTAATAATTAAAAGAAGGAATCAATGAATGACTAATTTAATCTCCACTATAAATTATTCGTTATAATTATTTGATTATTTTATTTCTTAAAGCTAAATTATTTTGAAATAATAAACTTTTTGATTCTTGTTAAATGGTGGTATCATTTCGGCCAATTAAAAATTATGGCTTAACTTTTGGATACTCTTGTCAGTTAATTAGTTTACAAATTTACATTGGTTACCTCTTTCTTTCACCTAGACGAATCTGCGAGCACACTTAATGGTACCTTTTACAAAACTCGAGAGCTTCTATAAAGTTTTTTTTATTCACTTGCGATTGATTTATTCGTTTACATTTATTGACTCTCTTGGTTTACTTGAAAAACAACTTAAGTAGCTTGCTTAACAACTTTACGTTTAGTATTTCCAATTAACCTTTTGACGGTACTTTGTTAATACTCACTAGTTAACCAACGTTAATCCTAACCTTGCTTGCTTGTTCACTAAAGCAAAACATGGCTTTTATCAAAGCTCCACAATTGTTACCTTTTACCAAAGAAAATAAAGACAATATTTTATTTAATGATTAATTTTTATCTGCGAAGACCTTAATGAAATTTTCGTTGATCGATACAATAAGGATAAAGATAAAGATTATTGCAAAGTAACTTAATCAATAAATATTGATATTATAATTATTTACATAGTGATTTTGATAATAATTAATATACTAAAATTAGTTAACCTGGAACATAAAATACCAATCATGTATTCAGCAAAAACAAAGGAGAGATTGGGATACACGAGAAAAATATAAAAAAAAGACCTTGTAATATATATTTATGAGTTTTTTTTTGTAAGTTTTTATATTTTAAAGCAATTTTACTTGCGTAATTTTTGACTTAATGGCAGCGATTTTGACGTAATAGTTTTACAACTTTGGTAACATTTCGTCAAATAACATTATTATCGCTTGTAGAAGTGTGGAATCTTGATTTCAAGAAATAAATGAGCAGATTTGTTTTCATTGTAACTGATTGGATGGTCTAACTTAAGAAATAAACCTATAGTAAATTTCATCATCACAACTCCAACACCAGTGTTTTAGAAAGTCATTGAAACTAAAGAAACTTCACGTACCTCCCAATTTATTTCAGAATCTATTGATCAGGTGATAAATAATATAGATCATAAAAAATTAGCTGCAGTGACACTGATAATGATATATAGTAATGTGAAAGAAACCCATGAGATTTAACAGACCTGTGTTCAGATCAACGATTTCAGAATCATCAGAATTAATGATTGACTTTGTATTGGCTAAACATTTTGGTGTTGGCTGATATAATTCTCCTTCTACCCGGAGATATTGATATGTCACAATATTAATATAGATCACCTCAATGCGTACAAGAATCCATTATTTAGAAATTTCTCTATCTTTCTATCAAATTTTCTTGCAAAACTAGTTGCGTGGTTATCAATATTTTAGTCTATGAGAATTGACCGCATTTCACCTCGATAATATTTCTCAACATAATATGTATGTATGCACTCGTCATCCTTTGTTACCGAAAGCTGTGCGGTCTGTCCCAACGGGTTGAATCGGAGCCGGCACCGGGTTGCTGTTTTTTATAATTACAAAATACCGCTAATGCTAATTTTATTTTCTCTTTTCGTCATAGTTCAGCCTGAAGCACTCTTGGAACCTCCGCATATCCTTCTACGTCTGTTGAAATATTAAAAGCATATGCTTGATTTCTTATGGAATGTACTATTGTTTGTCATTTACTCTCGTCGAATTGAGACTTTGGCGTGATCTATTTATATATTTTTTGAAGACTATATTCTCTCTTCTAATGGTTCGAATACACTTGGATATATTCCACCATCAGTTTTTAAGCCGAATATCCTTCTCAGTGCCTTGTCAGTCAAAAGTTCGCCTTGTGACTCTGGCCATTGCTCATTGGGCCCAGTATCTATCTCCTTTCAGGATGTGCCTTTGATTCCAAAAAATTCAACTCATCCCCGCCTAAAAAAATTGCCAACTCTTCTCTTGACATATGATTTTCAAAAATAGGTTTATCTCCTGATGTACGAGTACCAAAATTTTTGCTGGTTCGTAGTTTCTTTAGATGAGAAAAAGAAATTCTGTGTAATTATTTGGGATGTGGTCTGCATAGTACCCAAAAAAGTTCTCAAGATGTTTATGGATTGTTTGACTAAAGAGCATGCTGGTTATTATGAAGAAGTGTTAACTAATTACCATGCCAAACGCCTTCAACTGCAAGAGCTTAAGAAAAATATGCGTTGCCAAATGACCAAACACACTTTTTTCTCATATTATGAATTCGAAAAAAAGGATAAGCAAATCATAGTTTTTTTTTTACTCGAGTCCTTGATGAATGAGACAGATGTAACAATGGAATAGATTGGGGGTTGAAAAAAATTGTTTTTTGATTTACACTTTTTATTTATCTTTTATATCTTTTAATACTGGTTCGATGTACTTTGTTATGGATTCATTTCTTTAAAGGACATGTTAATAATTACTATTAAAAGAAGCTTCTTTTTCAAATTTATTTATTTTATCTAATAAAAAACGTATTTTCATCAGGCAATTCCTAATTCATCAAGATCTTTGACCCAGAACTCGTTTTTGAAATTGTATCGAATTCAAGTAGTAAAGTTTTTTCCATCATCGTAATTTTTGATATATAATGTTGTAGTAATATTTACACTGATTGTAATAATTGCTGATGTTATTGATATAAAACTATTTAATCGAATTCTTCTAATGTTGAAATTCCGGTTGCAGGCAATTTCATCAGTGATTCATATCATTGATGTCGAGTCCAAATTCGAACATGTTGTATATAGATTAAATATTCCGGTATATATGATTTATGTTGTGAATGTTGTTGAAGAGGCCAGTGTTGTGACCCGAAACTCCGAGTTTAGGGAAAACCCGAAACAGAAACTAACAGAAACCACCCGAAACTAGTTTA